AAATCAATAAAATGTGTTTGCTTCTTAATAGGCTGTAATTCTAACTTCTCCCTAATTTAGTCTCGCCTTTCTCTCCCCAAATACTAGGTTTGGCAACCAACAGTCTTCAAGCCGGGCTCCTGTTGGCGTGGGAACACTGAAGAAAAGTCACACTCTCTTCAATAAACACACAGATACTGCTTCCTTGAGTCTATTGGAACACAGCATAGACGGACTCTGCCAGAGACCCAGTCATGGTGTTGTTTTTCTAAAGCGGTATTCACAGAGAAAGGTACATCCCACCTTATAGCTCACACTCCAAGGGGGCTTCCTTCGATTTAGACTCGCCCAGTTGGGGAAACTGCACCAAAGGCCAACCTTTAAAATCCAGTAATAAAATGAAATGGCTCTACAAGTAACTCCCAGCTACCCCCTGCCCCTGCACCGTGTGTCTGAGAACCCCCGTCTTAGTTCTGTGTTTGCTGCTCACAGCCAAGGTAATTTCCAATTTGACCTACCCTTTTCCAAGAGGAACCTTGTCTTGGCTGCCAGGTCTGTTCTTAAAGAGAGTGCTTACCACACGTAAGTGAAGGTATAGACAGGACTGGTTGGCTGGGTGAAGAAGCCTGGGGCTCACCCATGGATGTACCGAGGTGATGTGGGAGCAGGCAACACTGCCTTCAGTCACCAGTGGACCAGCCGAACTCTCCCACGCCCTCCCAACACGGGTCTCTGCAAACCGTGGTGCAAACCCAAATCCATCAGGCCTCTCTTCCCTCAGCCCTACCTCCTACCACTTCCTCTTCTCACACCTGACTAGACCCTTGCCGCCCAGTGTTCCCACACACACCATCTTCCATGGCACATTGCTCCGTGCCCTCAGACCAGCTGGCTGGTGATTAAAATGGACCACACTAGGAAGTGCCAAAGCGCAGGGCCTATTGTATCAGATTTCCTTGGCCTTTTATAGACACACCGAGAACCTTGAGAATGTGATGTGGTGGCCTGAGACCCGGTAGGCCTGTGTTCTAACTGAGCTCAGTCATCCATGGGCTAAAAAGCAGCCACTGAGCTCTCTCAGAAGCCAACTGTGAAAACAGAAGTGTGTGGCCCAGGGTCTGGCTACATCTCTCAACTCTGACTGAACTCTCAATGCCTAAATAGTCCCTGAAGATACTGTCTGAGAAACAGGGGGCTAAACAAGCCTGCTTATCCACCTGAGCCTTTGTAAGAGTCCCTCAAGACTTTGTTCTTTTTCCAAATCCTTCCTTCCTTTAATTTTAATTTTTTTCTTTTTAAGGCAGGGTCTCAGGTAGTCCAGGCTGGTCTCTAAGTTACTATGTAGGCAAAGATGACCTTGAACTCCTTCCAGTCTCCCAAGAGAGGTAATTAGAGGGGTAAACCACATTCCCACCTCAATTCCTTTTTCTTTTTCTGGTTTTTTTGTTTGTTTCTGTTTTTTGTTTTTTGCTTAGACATCAAAGCAGTTTCTGAGATTATCAAATACAATCAAACATTATTAGTATATCAAAATTCTTTTATTTTTTGGAGAGACACCAGGCAGAGCTCTGGCCCTCAGGTAACCTTATGAGAGAAGGTGACACACGGACACTGAGGGAGGTACACTCACCTCCTCCATACCTCACTTAGAGTCAGCAACCACGACAGAAATAACTCTGCGCCAGCTGCCAGGTGAGAAACTAAGGCACCAAGATTACCCCTGCTAGCCCAAAGGAGTAGGAGACACCTAGACACCAGCTCTGCCTAGTGCAGTCTCTCCAAAACACTTACTTTAAATGAGAATCTCATTCTACCATAAATGTGAACTGATAAGGAGAACAGGAAAAGAAGGGCCAGGGCATTATGCCACCAGTTTTTAGTGTCCCGGATCACCTCAGCCAATGTAAGTGCTGTGCCAACCCTTGCAAAAGGCCTGTGGCGGCTGAGCCGCAACCACTTTCTGCTGTTAACTTGGCAGAATGAAAAACTGAACAGGTGACTTGAAGGTGAGGGCGTATGGTGGAAAAGCCAACCTGTTTGCCTTTGCCCGGTGACTAACTTCTGGGGTCCAGGTGACTTCTTAGATTATCAACCAACCCCAACCAGTGGGGAACCAAAGTGCCACCACACTGTCGCAGAGCACGGGCAAGGTTTGGTGTTGCTCAGGATGACCTGGAGCCTGGCAGGGGAAGCTTCTCTTCCACTGTAACAAAGGTGTCTGAAGTGAACTCCTGCAGGTAGGGAAGGACTTGCCTAAGTGCAAAGACACACACAGGCCTTCTCAGCTCTCCTGGCAGCCACCTTGTACTCACCTAGGGGTCACTCACTGATTGACCCCTCCAGGCGCTTGCTTTCACCTTGGAAACTTCACCCAGACCTGACTCTGGTCTTTCCTAGCAGAGCAGACCAGGGCTCAAAAGTAAACAAAGTGCTTTCCCCTCCCCCCACCCTCACCCCCACTGTGGCCTCCATCGCACCAGCTGCTGAGGAATTTACTGCCCGCCGACCAGCTGTTTGTGCGGCAGGAGAGCAGATAGGGGAAGTTTCTGGAGAGGAGCTAGAGAGATGTTGCCACTCAGAGATGGCCTTCCTGCCTTTAGCATCAGCTAATCCTTCAAACTCACATACACTCTCTACTCCAAGGAAAAGTTGGTTGTTTCCTGATGCCCCTAGAAGCAAGCAACATGCCTGGTGCTTGCTTGTACACATTTTTTTTCCCCTCATGCCATCTCTGTACCACATCCCAAGGGCTACATGAAGCGCACATCACTGGAACATTTTCAGGTGACCTGAGCCAATCCTGGTCCTTGATCTCCATGGTTTATTATGGGACATGAGAAACTCCAGCAGCTCCGCGGAGAGATATTGTCTCCACACATACACACCTAAAAACACCCACAGCCTAGGCAAATATTCACAGGCTAGCTCCACCAAAAACAACCCAAAACAAAAAAGTCGATTGCATAGGTAATAAAGAACAAATACATTTAAATGACAACGTACAGACAGATAAAATAAAAAGAGGCATCCAAAAAACAAAAAAAAAAAAAGGAAGGGCTCGGTTACAGCACAAGAGTAGAGTTCAGCAATCCTGTACAAGGTTCTAGGTTCCATCCCCAGGACCAAAGTCAAAAAAATGAAAAATAAACAACCTAAGACAATAAGGAAAAAAACGATAAGTCGAATTGCATCCAACTTCCGCATCACATTTGAGAATGCTTTGGTGGGGATTGACTCCCTACATGAGTTAGCTCTTTTTTCTATTGGGGTGCAAAGAAGCCACTCAACAGAGGCACTCAGCTTCCAGCATACCACCGTGAGTCCATCAGAATAGCAGAAATGCAGGGGCTTTAGAAGTGGTATCAGAAGTCACAGGATAGAGTGCATGGTGTTGTTTTCAACCGAAAGCTATTGTGCTGAAGGTGGTCCAGGTTCTTCTGTTGGTTTATGGCCATCAAGCCAAATACAATCTGCTGATCTAATGCCCTATCATTAGGTACTTCTGTTGTTGTTATGAAGTGCGAAATAAATTAGTTTATCCACACAGCAAGATTTTCCTGAATTCGACAAAGAATCTAATTTATATTGCAAAAGAAACTGGTCTTGAAGTATCACAGCGTCCTAAATTCTTTAGTGAGGCATGGCTCCAAAGCCTACCCCAGATATGCACAAACACAAAAGCCCAAAAGTTCCTCTGGGATCTTCTGTGAGGCAGAAACAAAGACACCCATGCACCTTTTGAGTCCCCATCGGCCTTACTTCAAACCTGTGACCATCACTCTTGGTAAGAAACACTAAGGTCCGACTCCAATTATGAACCTAGTAAGTCAGTGTGACAACATCCCTTTCCCTCACACAGATCCTAGATGAAACACTGTTTAAACGGGAAAGATTTTCCTAACTCGTCACGGAAGAAAACAGGTTACACGTTCATTGTTTCTGTAACATCCATGTAAGGGGCACGCATTAAATAGGCCAAGCCAGAAGCAAAAGCAAACTTCAGAAACTTCAGCCTTGCCTGGGCAACAGAAAGCTTGCCTTCTGGTGACTGGCGAAACCTTGAAATAAAGTGCCCTATAACTGACTGGAGCATGGGAAAAATAACTGGGGGAGACAGACAAATCATTCTGCCTCCCGATGGTGGCAAACTTCACAACAACTTTTTAAAAGCAACAAACTACAGCATCGCAGCCTATGTCGACAGATGTACACACTCATGCACACGACTACCTGGAAGACAAGGGCTGTTTGCAAATATTCGTCCTGAACTTAGCCCAGGCCAGGCTACCCGGAGACTGCAGCTTTTCAACCGCCTCTCTGCACTGTCAGAGAAGGTCATTTTGCCTGGTCACTTCTCTTCCACCCCGCATCACAGGAGTTTTCTACTCTCAGATTGCTCAACTTTCATATGCACTAAGAGTCAAATAACTATTCAGCAACTTTATTCACCTTGGTTTAATTTTTTTTTCCTTATGCAATGCCCAGGAAAAGCTGACACCAAGGCTGTCTCAGGGCTTGCAATCACAATCAGAAGGGAGGCGGGGGTAAAAATCTTGTGTGATAGAACCCAGAGTCCTGAAAGAAAGAGAGAGACTATCCTAGTGGGGCCCCTACAACTTTTTCCCTAGGGAGACCACCCCTCGGGAACAAAAGTTACAGTTCAGTCACATGTTGGGCGTAGGAATAAGAAGGGGAATTTCTTTTTTCTTTCTTATTTTTAAGCGCACTAATTACGGAGGTGTTCTACAGATCTGAAGACAAACTGGGTTCCTCCTACCAATTGAGACCGGCATTACATTGTCAAAAAGAAGGGGGTGGGGTGGGGGGCCCAGGAGCCCAGACGGGGCTCGGCGGGAGAGGGGTGTAGCAAGGTTATGCTAAAGGGTACAGCCGCTGCCACGAGCTGCATCTCTTTGCTTCGCGCCCCAAATAATTCCCCGCAAGCCTAGCAACTGCACCGGCAGCACCGGGGCGAAGGGGTTCCGATCGCCCAAGGGGAAGGAGGGGAACAGAATCATTACCTTAATGCTACACTGAGCAGGAGTCTCAGACATGTCTCACAGCGAGAGGGATCAGGAAGTTCTCAGTTTTTTTCCACTTTCCTTTCCTCTCCCCAACCCAGAAACGCTCGGCGGGGCAGCGGGACGCGGTCATTTAAGAAGTTTCTTGCAGCATCGCCAACGGCGGCCGCCCGGTGGGGAGGGGGGGTCTTCGGAGCGCACGGATCGGGCGCGCGGCGCGGGGGCGTGGGAGCCGGCGAGCACGGCG